GGCCAGTCTGAAATTTTTTCTTGTCCACATAAATATCATCATTGTAGTGTGCTGAATGATTTTTAAAATCTTGGCTGCTTGAAATGCTAGTTTGTGCATTTTGAGGGACAAATGTTGCTGGTAGACTATCTCGTTTGGTGCAAAATTACACAAGAGTTTCATCTTCATTTTGCCCACTCCACTCAAAGTAGGCTGACTCAAAGATGGAGTGGGCAAAATTTTTGTCAGTGATGACTGGGAAAATTTGGCTAGAACACAGTCATAGAAATCCTGACATCATATTTCCATGGAATAATGCTTAACCCATTGTCCACCATCATACCTGCCCTACATTGTAGATGACATAATAATTTCAATTAAATGAAATTTCTTTTGGTACATTCATTGTCAAGTACATGTATGGTTAATGAATTCAACACATTCATCAAATTGCTGTATGCTTGTTGTATACTAAGTAAATTGTATCCAAGTGAAGATTATTTCTATACCAATGAAGATTCTTCCTGGATTTTAGTGGAAAGTGACTGGGCAATGTGACATGATACTAGAGTTTATGAAATGCAAGTTCTCGCTTCAACAAGTTCAAGTAAATACCATGTGTAGGCAGATAAGTGTGTCCCGTGACATGATTTTCTTGATTTTTAAAAACATTTCCTGATTTGATGGTCCCTTCCCTAGGGAATAGCTTAATTTGCATATCTCTTGGGAATAGTTGAATTTGCATATCCTCACATGAGACCTGAACATTGAAAGATCTTTAAATATATCAAAAATTCAAGGAAAAGTTACAAGTGCAAAGTTTTATACCATAAAATGTAACAACTTGAGGCTTTTTCCATTCTGTAAGCTTAATTTCATCTTTTTTCTCAAGCATATTCTTTCACGCGCAAATTTCAAACTTTTTTGCGCGTGAAAACTCAACATTTGAAAATTACTATTGAAAATGGGAAATTAAGGATGGATGTGCAAATCCCAAGGGACTTGTTCAAATGTGAAGTTTTCACGCGCAAAAAAGGTTAAAATTTGCGCGTGGAAGATAAAGATAGAATTAAGATTTCCGAATAAATGTAAAATGTCCAAGACCCTCTGGGAATCACCTAATTTGCATATTTTCACGCGCAGATTTTTCACGCGCGCGCAAATTTTTCACGCGCACAAAACCCCATCCCCACTGTCAGGTGGAGGAAAAAGAAAGTCAAGGATTAATTTGTTAACTGCAATGATAAGTTCACAGTACATCAGTGACAGTAAAAACATTGAACATAACAGTACAGTGAAAAAAATCAGGAATTACAGGATTTGGTGCTGTTGGTCTAGAGATTTTGGGACTCGCCCAAAGACAAGCAGATTTTGAAGAAAATTTACCTAAATTTGAATTTGAAATGATGGTGTTAAGATCATAACAAGGTGGTGCAGTAGTGTTATTCAATTACATCTTTTATTAGGGACTCCGGTATGTCTTTGTCACAGTTCATTATGCAGTTATTGCATAACAATGATTATGTAATCACTTCAATTCAGGATGGCGCCAATGTGTTTTTTCATTTAACACCTTTCTTGTTAATGTTGTTTGTAATTTGTATTATCATTCAATCAAAACCAATGTGTTTTTTCAAACACCTTACTTGTTAATGTTGTTTGTAATTTGTATTATCATTCAATCAAAAACAGCAGAGAAAGTTTTCAAACCAACCTGCCAATCGTGTTGCCCTTTAGCCTTGCTATTAGACCTGCTGCTGACTTCACTGTAAGTCTTTTTCATGGTAGACAGAACACAAGGCCATACTCCAGGAGCTCAACAGTTGGGATGGAATTTTATTATGTTTACCGAAGGAAAACATATTGTTTTTGCTCAGTTTCCTCTTCTTCCCCTTCTTCTCAAAACCAAAAAGGTCAATGGCCTGAACCAGACGTCTGTCACCCTGGTAACAGTGTTGGGTTACATCATGTTGCAATTTTATAGCAGGAGGGATTTAAACTCCTGTCTGACCATATATATGAATGTGTTTTAGTTTACAGAGCAGACCATATGCGAAGGTAAACATTATGCATTTGCTATGCAAATGTTACCTTTCTAGTTGTACTATAAATTCCTTATTCAGTTCTATGTAGCAGAGAAGGCTGTTTGGTCTGTATGTGTCACAGATATATACATGGAGACAAATACTAAAATCGCATGTTTTATATCAACTGTGAGGATCAAAATGATGCTTCTCTGAATCATCTGCAATTTTGTTTTTCTGCGATATAGTAGTTTATTGCATTGAGTTTTAGGGATATGTAATACATGATAAATTTTGGAGATATCTGTCTTTTAAACTTTAACATTACAGTATCAACATGAACTATAGTCGTCACTGATTTCTACTCTGGATTTCTTTACATAATTTTGTTTTCAGTTATCCATAATATGTTATATATGGTGGCTGAGAATTTGAAGATATGACTAATGGCTCTGAGAAACCCAATCCAATCTAGGAGGATAAAGAGGGACTGTGTATTCCAGAGGGGCCTGTTTAGTTTCATATGATACAGAGGAGAAAATATTCCAGATCAGTATCTGTTGTGACCCAGTTTGTTGGGAGAAGGCAGTCAGTACAGCAGATTGAACAGGTTTCACATGCGTCATAGCCAGGGCTTGATAGTAGCCAGCAGAACGTACTGTGCCTTTGCAGAACTCGCGCAGGTGTAGTACATTCTGCCGATGTGCTAGGCTTGATATACTACTACCTGCATATACAGGTTAGTGCAGGTGAAACTCACTGAAAGTGGAGCCGTGCAGGTATTTCTGATGTCTACCAGAACATTGCATGCACTGGTCCATGTTCTGAGTATGCAGGTGAATTTTTGTTTGCTGTGCTTAAAAAAAAAGTCCCGTTCCACTCTATTGCAAAGCATAGGGGTGGCACCCATTGAGCTCCATTTGCTGTGCTGATGATTTGAATTTTTACCACCCTTAAAATGCGGAATAATAAACAAATGCATGGTTTCCTAACTGTTTGTACTCTGATGCTATGGTCTCGCTTATGAACTAAAGTGTACAGAAATTGGCCTACGGAAGCAGATATGGTAGTTGACATTACAATAATTTATGTAATGTTTCGTACTGTGTACCAGATAGAGTGAACTTTGTCTTAGTGGTAATAGTCTGTAACAATGCATCTCTTTCATTTCTATAGGTGGGACAAATCATAACAAAGTGAAAATTGATCTTCAGTATTTCGTGAGCAGTGATGTTACCTCTACTTAGAAGTTGTTTAGCAGTTCTTTCAGTCTGCATGCCAAATTTATAATGTCCTCATATGGGTGTTGTGTGTTGATACTAGACTGTTTGCATGGCCTGCACAGGCCAGCACCTTGGCTCTCTTTCCAACATGCCCTCAAGGAAATACCACAGCCCCCAGGTAGTACAGGAGTAGTTTATGAGTGTACAATTTGTGATAGCAGGTCGCCAGACAAAAGAGTCGTAAAATTGAGCTGTCTGATTAACCCCCTGTGTAAACATGAACAGTCAATCAACCCGCGGTTACATCGCACAAGGTCACGGAACACTTGTCAAGTGTAAAATTCCTACATGTCCTGCTGTTAGATCTGATTTATGACCTATAAACTACTTGTTGTAACATAGAACTCAAGTTACAGATTTCCAGAGTTCTACATGTGCATTCACATTAGGCCACAGCAAGTAATTTTTGAAAAAACAAATACAAGAAATTTTGTTGCCTTCTGACAGTGCCCAACATGCCGAAAATGGGCAAAAATGTCTGTTGCCATTGCCGGAAGGATGGCAGATAACTATGAAGAGAGGAAACAAGAAAAGGCTCTGATTTAATGTTTTGTTTCTTACTTTGATGCAGTGATATGTGATGCTGGCCGTGTATATGTGATGCTCCCACTGAATAAAAACCATTTGTACAATGATTGAGTCAAAATTTTAAAATGTAGCAACCTTGTTTTTTTTGGGCCCGCCTCATTTTTTTTTGCCGGCTCGCATTAGATTTGGACTCTGCGGAGGATGTCATCCATAAAATTTACTTGCTGTGGCCTTAGGTTATATACTTGGTTCATTTGTGAGTATGCTAGAACTGTTGACATGTGTGCAAGTTTGCCAGAACCATTGTAGAACTTTCTATTGTTTGTTGAGGGATTTTGTAGATATAAATTCTAATCTAACCAGGCTTACTGACTTACCGGTATCAAAATGCCTGATCAGACAGGTTTTCTTTGGATTTACAGGATTTTGTTGTCTTGCTTTCTGTCTTGCTCCACTTGGCTTACCTTAAAAAAAACAAAAACAATGTGGAGTGAGTGAGTGTGTAGTATGGATCACGCCAAAATTGTTCAGGAAGCATTGCCATTATGTCTTTTATACATCAGTCTAAATGCCTGTGGTAAGTCAATACACAAATTAAAATCTACACAAACCCATATAAACACAGTATATGCCCAGCACAGGTTAGTTACATGTATACCTGCACAGCTTCAATTTTACCTGCACAAAACTGCATATAGGTGGTATTTCCTGATTATGTTCAGACTTAAACCATGTAATAACTTCGGATTAGCTCACACAAACTTCTTGTTGAAAAGGGTAGACACAACCACATTCCTCTGCAACAACGAATTTGTCATTACTGTAACCTAAATGAGATTGAAGACGAGAGTCATTTGATTGTGGACTGTACTTTATATAATAATGAAAGATTCTGGTATACAAGATTATTTCCCTAGTTTAAGATTTTTAGATAGAAAAAAATTCACATTCCTCATGAAACTCAATAATCCTCATACTATAAGCTCCATCTGTTCTTACATTTACAGCTGTCTTAAGAAGCGAGAAGAAGCAGAACCTGTACATATGTAGTTTTACTATAGATATATTTTAGTCTACCATCGCTATTTGCCGTGACCTGAACTTAGTTCACACTGAGCAAAAATGTACAATAAAGGCCTTTCATTCATTCAATAACGCTGCATCCTTCTTTTTCTCTGTTCTACAGGGAGACCGAGAGTTGAGGATGGTTTGGAGAGGGTGGTCCTGTCTGGCGTCTACAACGTCAAGAGTGGGCGGAAGCTGGCCAGCCACAAGTGGAGCCCGCGGCTGGTGGTGCTGTGTGGGACCAGGCTGCTGGTGTACCCGTCCACCGACTGTAGCGACAAGCCGCACGTCTTTCAACTCACCAACGGGAAGGTCAGTTCTCACAGTTCATTTACGAGATAGCATACAAAACTTGACCAATTGCCAGCATGCACCGAACGATATAACAGAAGCATACCACCATAACTAGTCCACATTTTAAACAATCAGGTATAGTCTGTCAGATGTATAATTTACATGATATATGTAATCCACTGTTTTTAATACACAGACTGATTCAGGATTTTAATAATAATTGTCAAAAGATACCACAGACTTTTGCTTTTTTACTATGCTTAGTACTATGCTTAGCGCTTGTAAAAATGTTAAGGTTTAAGTCCAAAAAAAACTAAAAGTCAAGAACCGATTCCGGACTTATTTTTTAAAAAGTATGTCACATACCCCTTTTCTTACCAAACCACCTAAAACCTTACATACATGGCAAAATCTGTGCTGCAAAATGAAGAAAATGTTGCCTTCGAGCAATGTTAAATGTCGTCCTCCATGTTATGTGGCCACAGTTTTGCCCAAACAACATGGCAAGGTTGCCAACATGCAATTGTATATGCCATAGGTTTAGGTTCGAGTCTGGAACTGAACCTAAACCTCCGTACTTGAGTCCGTACCTGAAACTAAATGTGGGTTTAGGTACATGGCACTACCTGAAACTTACCAGCATGTTAAACTTCCCCAGGTTGAAGAGCACAAGTCCAAGAAGCATGACCATTCGCTGGCCTTCAGCTGTGGGGGGCAGACCTACTATGTGCAATTTGAGTCATGGCTGGAGAGCATGAAGTGGCTAAGACTAGCTTCAAAGGTTTGTTCTACTGTATTATATATTTACCTGGAAAATTTCCCCTCAGGGAAAGGGACATTATTATGTTTGCTGAAGGAAAACATATTGTTTTTGCTCTGTTTCTTCCTCCTCTTCCTCACCAAACAAATAAGGTCAATGACCTGAACTAGAGGTCTGTCACCATGGCAACTAGTGTTGGGTTACATCATATTACAATTTTATAGCAGGAGGATTTAGACTCCTGTTTGACCACATATATATATTAATGTGTTTGAGTAAGAATTAACAGAGCAGACCGTGTGCAAAGGTTAACATTATGCATTTGCTTTGCAAATGTTACCTTTCTAGTTCTATCTGATACTTCAAGATATTCTTGTTCTTGTCATTCTGGGTTTTGGACCAATTTTGGTAGGGGCATTTTACTTTACACCTAGAAGCTAAATAATCATTAATTATAATTAATAATAATTAGATAACTGCTCTTCTTCAAGGTCCAATCTTGGTAACCACCAAAGTAGCAAGTAGAGACAAACTATTTGTTTGAGTCAAATTACATCAACTTTATTTCCATTAGTGTGTGATTGAATGAATGTACACAATTGACCAGATTGTTCTTCTTGCTGTTAAAATTGATGCTTGAGTTGACTACTATTCATAGAAAACACATAATCATCAAGGGATGATTGTCTAAGGTGTCTTGAACTTTTCTTGGTTTTACAATTGACGGATATTTACAAATGTGTTCCTTCTGATTATTATCATTTCTGGGAATAGTAAGTATAGCCAATGCGTAAAGTTGACAACCTCTGACTTTTTGTCATGCCCTTGACTCTGACTGATTTTATATGCATTCTCCAGGGCTCAAAATACTGGGTGCATGTGCACCTTAGTGCACCCAAAATTGGAGCTGTGCACCCAATTTTTTTCTGTGGGTGCACCAGTGCACCCAAATATTTTCGTAGGTTTAACGTATGTAAAGATGTTGAATGTATAGTTGTTACAGCATATTCTTAACATCTAAGTGTCTTAAGAAATAATACAATCATTGTTACAGTACTTTTCTTGAGATGAAACATAATTACAGTTTTTGCTGACATTCTACTTATTTTATCTTATATGGTGCACCTAAAATATTTTTTGTGCACCTAATGTTTAAGGTTGCGTGCACCAGTGCACCTATTCCCAAAAATGAATTTCGAGCCCTGCATTCTCTGTTGGAGTTGGATATGAGCCCAATGTCATGCCGAGTTTTCAATATAGCTGCATGTGTGGGTTGATCGCAAGCCCTGACATTCAGGGAAAGGTCATTAGGAGGGACCTCCTCTCTATCTGGCTGTCTGAATACCCACAAGTGGGTACCTGGGGTGTGAGGTCGCAGGATGAAATACGTGAACAGGTCGGCTGGTAATGTATAGATATCAGGATGGAGGCAGACAGGGTAAAAAGGGGGTTGGTGCTGGGTGTGTGATTTTGGCCGCAGGGGTTTGTGGTAAACCATTCACTAGTGTCTGTGGTAACCATTATGGAGGGCTTGTAAAAGCATCCAATGCGATTTCAGAGCAGCAAAACTGTAAATACTATGAAAAAGGCAATCTTTGTGATGTTGACATATACTGCTTCATATCAGAACTTTTAAATCAGTATTTCATACTTTGGGCATTTAAAGCTGCAGAAACAAGCCCCAAAATGAGTCCTTTATTTTCTGGGCGGTACCCTAAAAATCAGCCCAGGGCCCTTCCAGTGATTCTGAATTTTGGGAATTTTGGAAATTTCTGAAGTTTTGCTCAATATACACTGGGGTAGTATGGTTTCAACTCAGTATGTAGATAAATGACTAAAATATTGGCTTTGAAAAATTGGGTTTCAAAGCACTAAAAACTGCACTGGATTCCTTTAAAATCTCTCTGAGGACCATTTTTGACACGAGCAGAGAGAGATGAAAAAAATGATCTTAGCCATTTTTTCTTAAATCTTTTTTCTCCAGAGCGTGAACCAGACTATACAGTGACTGTACTTTCACTGTGCATTAATTTTTTCATGAAATAGCTACTGATAGAGCAGTAGCATGCACTAGTAAAATTGGAACCTATATACAATTTAGATCTCCAGCCATTTTCTGGGGAGCCTGCAATTTTGTAAGATGGGATAAAGTTTCTTTCGATCCTTGCTTTAACCAAGGACGTCATGCCTTGCTTAACATGTATCAATAGGTTAGGCAGACCCCCTTCAGTTATCTGTATAATACCTGTCAGGCTAATAATGTACACATCAGGAGATTACCAACCTGGAGCGTCCTTCTGTAATCCCCTAATGAATGGGGAGGGAAGTAATGGGAGGAATTAGCTTCTTTTTTTTTTAAATAACCTGGGGACTGGATACTGTGATGATGCACTCTTGCATATATGGCATCTCCATTTCTATAGCCCTGGGTAACAAAGGCCACTGGTACTGGTGTGTGTTCAACTCCCATGCTCTTTCTCGGAACTGCTGAGTGCTAAGCAGAAAAATCAGTATGTGTAGCTTTTCAGTCTTCTGTGTTCACCCACAACCTTCCGAATGCAAGGTGAATACTCGGTTGCACTGGCCATTTGTCAAAAACAGTAGGGGAATTCTCAAACACATTGACCCTGTATTAAAACTATTATATACTGTCAAGGCTCAAAATCCTTTTTTTTCATACCTGCATTGGTACAGGTAACATTGAAAATTACCTGCATCAGACTAAGTTTACCTGCACTACTCAGGATCTGGAAAGTATGGATGAGGCTAAAACCAGTTTCGAAGCCATTACCATTTTGTCTTTTGTACTTTACACAGCAAAACAGTCAATACAGCAAATGAAAATCCACATATAAACCAGGACATGGGCTAGTGCACGTTAACTGCAGGTAGACATAAGAAATACCTGCACAGCTCCAATTTTACCTGCACTAACCTTCATATCAGATGTTATTTAAGCCCTGACAGTACGGGATGATGGTGATATAGTACTGTACTTTAGCTCACGTGTTTTGTTGGCTTTGTGCAGGTTGCGTCGCAGCAGCCATGTACGATGGACCTGTCCAGCTGTAGCCTGGAGCTGGTGCCTGACTGTCTGTTCTCTCACACCGACCTCACCTGCCTCAACCTGCGCCATAACTACCTGGGGGAGAGACCTCACCACGTGCCAACCCAACAACAGGGCTACCTGGACGACCTCACAAGGTCAGAGGTCACTGATGGCCCTACACTAAGGCCTGCTTTACACACACCTTTACACACTTAGCGAAGTCGACTTGAAAAAATTTCTGTTTACACACGGGGCCGCAAAGCAACTTGGCACTCTCGCTATGCCACCCTTCCCCCAAGTCGACTCGGTGGCTCGGTCTTGCCTGACTGGTACACAGAGACGCTCAAGTCCACTTTGCCCATTTACACACGCGAAGCTAGTGGCTTCAGCACCCCGCTGGCCGACTTAAGTCTGGTTTGGATACGACTCAAGTCGTCTTTATTAGAATGCGACTTGAGTTGAATTACACGGAAATTTTCACTCAAGTCGACTAGATCAAGTCGTCGTGAGGTCTAGTCGACTTGAAAAAGTTATGTGTAAAGCAGGCCTAAGTCTTACAGATTACTGTAAATCACTTTATATTTACAATTTTCGCAGTCTGAGAAAATGGACATGTTTGCGGAACTATATGTTTGCGGTTGCAGCAGGTGCAAAAGAGAGAAATTCAGTGAATTAGTAGTAGTAAATGGCAGCGAAAACCTCGAATATAAAAGTACCGAGAATATCAAGTGAGTTACAGTATGTAGAGATGAAAAAATTTCTTTTCACAAGAGTGTATATTATCATACATATAAGGTTCAACATCCCTGCAACTAGTACAGGTATTTACTGTACCCGCTTTCTTTGCATTACAGGTACTTCTGTGTGAAAAATGTATTGAAGAATTTGTAATGATACAGATAATGACAATGTCACATCATGGAGGATTATTATATACAAAAAATATTTCAGTTTTGACTCTCTAATGATGATACACTTACATTCATTACCACTTGGTTCTTAGATTGAAACTATCGCTAACGGTTAAATGGAGTTTCCCTGGAAAGGAAATCCAAGGTTATATCAACAGCTTGGCTGGAAAAATTAGATTGCGATGTTCCCAGATGGTAGACAGTAACACAGTTAACGTTGACATTTCAATTTCCCACGGGTTAAATTATTACGTTTCTTGTAAATTACTTCTTGGTGGCAGTGAATTTGAAAGTTTATGGGAAATCAAAGCCGATAACTGCACGTTATGGGACTGATTAGAAGGCATGGTTGTAGTAAAGATTGTAATGGTGAAATATTCCCCCGCAGATTTCAGCAGCTGAGGAGCCTTAATGTCGCCTATAACGCGCTGGGCCAGTTCCCAGCATGCCTGTGTGACATCGCCACTCTGACGGAACTGAACGTAGCTAGCAACAGAATACAGGAGCTGCCCCCCTGCATAGCCAACCTGGAAAGGTACTGTTTGTTTGTTTGTTTGTTTGTTTGTTTGTTTGTTTGTTTAGGATCTCCATTAGTGTGAATTTCACGCTACTCTTCCTGGAGGCCATAGTGAATAATCAGATAAGTATTTGGACTGTGTATTTATTTTCGGGGGAATTTGGTTTTGCGAAACTAGAAGTGGAAGGAAATTTTTCATGTCTTTCAAGTTTGCAGTCAAAGCAATATAATTGTAGCATAAAATGAAAAAGCATGCATTTGCGGGATCATGGTTTTATGGTGGAGAGCCCCTGAGAAAATAAAACCACATTTACTGTAGGTGTCTCATTGAAGTTCTAGACTGCCCAATTTTGGATAAATTTGGATGTAATAAATAGGAACAGACAATAGTTGCATGATAAGTGTGAAGTGAACTTCAAGTCCAACAGTTAGGCAGGGTTTGAAGCTAGGTTACTCACGATAGGCAAGCTAAGGCCAAAACCAGTCTGCCATTCACCATTTCAGGTGTTGCATACTGAGTGTAACCACCTGACATTTGTCCCCACAGCCTCCAGGTGTTGCATGCCGAGTGTAACCACCTGACAAGCCTGCCCAACGAGCTGCAGCAGCTGCAGCACCTGTCTCTACTTGGCATCGCCTTCAACAGGTTCACGGAGGTGCCAGAAGTCCTGGCAGAGATGAAAGGTACTGCAGCCCACCTTTTCAAGTTTAATTGCTTTTGACCCTTTTCAAGTCATTTTCTGAATTCTTGTTCGAAGGTCCTTTTTTTTAAAACTTGCCTCAGATGTAGTTTCAAAGTTTCAAAACGCAATTGTAATACCTATCATAATTTTTATAGCAGCTTTATTTTTTATGCACTAGACTATAATCTTAGACTGTTATACATGAAGGTCAAAGTATGTGCCAAGAAACCTTCTCCTTCCAGCTTACCTTCTATCCATTACAATTTTTGTGCCAAAAGATGGCCTCAGATAACCCCTCCCACAACTGCTGTTTCCCTGTTCTTAGGTAAAGCCTGTTTTTTTTAGTTGGCCACAGGAAACACCAGTTTCCTCAGGCAGAGGACTCAGGGCACTCTTCCGTAAATAACACGTGTACCATGTCTTCCTTAGCTGCAAATATTGTGCAACATCTCTTTACACAAAAATGTGTGTGTCGTGCAATGAAGTTGTGCTGCTTTGGGGAGATAGCACTTTTGCACCCAAGAATCCAGCTTATCTTTGGACAAGGCATCTAGCAGGAAGTAGAGACCACTGGAACAACTGTGTTAATGCAGGCCTTGAAACTGGCTGACCTATACATTTCCTGTTTTCAACATTTTTGGTCCACAATTGTCAACAACACACTAATTTAATTTGCTGGTTCTCAGATTTAAAAAGATTGTGGTGAATATTTGAATATCAACACAAAAAGAAAAGTCTGCAGGGAAAGTCTGTACCTTTGTACACACAGTATCCTAGAGTGAATTTACTCAACTAAAACTGAAACTAAAGTTTTCCTCTCAGCAGTCTGTATTCAACATCAGGGGTCGAAATACCCCTCCCTGTGCAAGTTGGTGCAGGTAAAATTGGTGCCGTGCAACAAATTTTTTACGGGTGTGCACTGGTGCAAGTAAGCTTTATCTATTACTGCACTGACTCAGTACCCATAGGAATATCCAATAAAGAACTGAGAGGATAACAAAACCAGAATCCAGGGAGTTTTTCTTAATTTTTTATAATAATGAATAGAAGGTTACTACATGTACAACATGTATCTAAGTCGCTGCCATGGTTAGTAATTTATCCCCACAACAGTGTAAGCAAATATTGGATACTTTTGGTTCTGTACCTATTTTTGGAGGGTACAACTATTTTTTTTTGGTGCAAGTAACTTTTTTTTCATCTGCACCAGTGAAAGTTGACCCCAAAGTCTATTTCGACCCCTAAACATGTCCTCCTGCTGACTTCAAATGTCAGAGGACCAAGGACGAGTTTGGGTAGTTGTTTATTTGACTGATAGCCTAACTAAGGTGAAGGTCGTTCCTGTGATATATGATGAACGATAAAGTAAATCATGGTTAATCCTTAGCAAGAGCTTTGGAGAAATGTCACCTTATCTTTGCATCGTGTGACAGTGCAAGACTAGGATGGATGGTTTGGCTTGCATCCAAAGTGTACTTGTCTGGTACTTATGCCAGATCACAGCCATGCATAGAGTGGTCAGATTGGTCATAAGGGAAGGTAAATGTTCACATTCAGGGACAAATGTACCCTTGATTTACCATGCACTTAGAAATCAGAGAGTCACCGGAAATTTGGAATCTTCAGCAAAGCTTTGAACTTTGAAAAAATGAAAAATAGATGTCTTAATACTATTAGGAATTTCAAATGACACATGTAATTTACTGTACAGCAAGAAACAAGTTGGATGTAGAGCTTAGAGGATACTGACTTTAGCATGTTTTTACCAATTTGTGCTCCGGGATCATTCATACATGTAATATTGCCTGGTACCCTAAGAGTGCCACATTTTTAAAAAATTGTAAGTTTAAAGAGATATACTAATGTAGTATCAGTAATCCTGGAGGTGTGCACACTTCAGATATCCATATGTTTAAAATATTCTTGGGATTGCCTCACTAACACTGTTTTCTTACAATCTTAGTGTAGCTCTCTTAGGGTACCCAGCAAAGTTATAAGAATTGTAAAGTTTGAGTTCAGCAGGTCGAGAATTGATGAGCAATGTGTGTTTGTCTTGCAGGAATAGAGAATGTGGTGCTAACTGGGAACAGACTTCAGAAGCTGCCTGTAGATCTGATGAGCAAACTGACTCATATCAGGAGACTGGAGCTCAGGTGGGCATTGTTGACTCTTGTTTATTGCTATTAGGCCACACCAATTTAATTTCTTGGTTAACGGATTCGCCGCTTCATTTTTTTCAGATTTGCAAATAAAAATGAAAATTCAGAATCAACTGCAAAATGCTCATATTTTGCCCTGAACAGTTGAAAACAGACCTTTTCATCCTAGTTGTTACAGTTATTCCATCTTTCAATGCAATGGTATCATTAAAAGTTCAAAATTCATTGTTTAAATTTGACTTCATGGCTCCTATCGTACCATTTTGGGCCATAATACGATGCCTAGGCCTGTTTTTTTTTTTCGCCCGCCCGCTCCATTATTTTTCTAGAAAAATCCGTTAACCAAGAAATTAAATTGGTGTGGCCTTAAGTTCCTATCCACAATTTTCAATGTTTGTATGGAGTTATTTCTGTCAAAATATGGACTCCAAGGGGTATACGAATGACGTGTTGTCATGTTTTTGTGTTAAATGTTAATGTAAAAAATATTTTGACCTGTGCTTCATTGTAAAAATTTGACCCTAGGGGAGTGTGAAATCTAGGGGGGGTCAAATGTGCCTGGAAGTCTGTACCACCTGTTTGATGAAAGGCCGTAGTTCGAACTTTGTAGCCACAAGTCCAGTAGTTGCCATTTGTGTAAAACATTCCCCCTGGACAGCCTTTTAGTGATTTCTGACACTGAATTTAACACTGGCCACATTGAATATGAACTGAGTTGTGTCATGTCTTTTGTTATTTGCCTACAAGACTGGAAAATTAAGCCTGTATTTGCAGTAAACACGACATTCTTTTGCCTGAAAAACCTTTTTCTCTGATGCTGTATTTAGCACTTGCCATGCAGAATACTGTATGGCGAGTGGCAAGCTTTTAATGTAAAACAAGCAAATTTTAAAATTGTATTGTAATGATCATAACAGTAATGTGCAGTCTTTGTTAGACTGACACTTCTGTAAATACATAGCCTCACAATTCAGCCCTCCACGGCTGCCGGAGGCATGTATGTCTTGTGTTAAGACCCACTAAACCAGTCTACTACTACTACAGTAACTACTACTACTACTACTACTACTACTACTACTACTACTACTACTACTACTGTATGAAATGACTTAGAACTGACTTTCATACCATCCTTTTTGATTCATTCTTAGGTCCAACAGATTAGAGCTGACGTCTGTGGAAAACGTGACGTTCTTGGCCCTGGACAGCCTGACCCACCTGGACATGAGCTACAACAGCGTGGCTGAGCTGGACGTCCGCGTCCTGAAGCAGCTGACCCACCTGTGTTGCCAGGGCAACGGCATGAGCAGCCTACAGGTGTCTGGGGAGAGACTGGAGGTGCTGAATGCCAGCCATAACAGTGAGTCACACAGTCAAGCATGATTGTCATTTTTCACACTGTGTCTTAAACCACACCAATTTGATTTGTTGGTTCTCGGATTTTTGGAAAATATGGTTAACTAGATCTAGAAAAGCCTAATGAAAGCAAAGTCTGAGGACCCGGTTGATGCCTTGGTGGACTCTGTTATGTAGTAAATACAGCCATATTCTAGTTTTCTTCCTAGCCCTCTCATTTTATGATGTCCGCTTGCTATCTTTTGAACTAAAAATGTCCGAGAACCAAAAAAATGAATTGGTGTGGCCTTAATTAAAGGTACATATTTTTACCATACATTATAGACATTTGTATAACTGAAGCATCCAAGCATCTAGTAGCGGTATCAGTGAGTTACACAGCAAGAGACTGGATGTATTATACATTGTATATCTTAGCATTATGTAGCTGCTATGTAAGCTAAATGGGCATAGCCAAGAGTTCTACAGCATTGTAAGTCATGTCAAGAAATTGATAACAAGATTGATAACAGTTTTAAAGCTCTACTCCTATTGTTTAAAAGACTTCAATCTTGCATATTGTGCATGATTTAACATTGTTGTGCTTGCATTCTCTGAGATGGTTTTTTTTAAACTTTCATTGGTAACTGGTTCCTTGTTGGGTTTTTGCACAGATTCTCTGTCTTTATAATGACGATTATTAATGATTAAAGATCACCACTTTGCACTCTCTTTTTGACAGAGCTGTCCACAATAGAGATCACCCCCCCTCCCCACAACTTGGTGACTATCGATGTATCATGGTGGGTATAAATAACACCACTTTCTGCTGCCTTTTCTTGTTTTCATAACGTGCCTTACAGTATATCTTTTCTGTCAAACATTTTTAAACCCCCTATTGACTAATTTGACTCCAATCAAAGTTATATTTTGCTAATGTCAACTGTCATAATTCTGCTGGGTACCCCAACTTTAGACTGCCACATTTGAAAAAAAAATGTTTTATCGAGGCACCACATTTGAAATGTGCATACAATGTAGGACTGCTGATGCCGCATTGGTAGATCTGGACATTTTTAAAAAAATGTGGAAGTCTTAGGATACCCAGTGGAAGTATAAAAGTTGATTTTAAGCCTAACTTTTCTTGGATTCTAGTGGAACATGCCCTTCAACTGTTCTCACTTCTCAATTCTTCTCACTTCTGCTGTACCAACATTATTTGTTGATTTTATAAGTTTATTACGTTATGTCATGAGGAAAGTGACACTTATTTCCTTTGGGAACTGCTACAAAAATTGTGTTCCGTTTCGGAACAACTCAACCTTACGAGACGATCCCCAGGGCAGGCCCATGAATTATTGACAGAGTAATTCACATGTGCTTTAAAAGGAATCCAGTACAGCATTTCAGAAGATCATTACTACAGGCAAGGACATTTCGTTGGCATTCATTGTCATAGCCTGAATGCCTGTCTACAGTTGAGTGGCTGATATGCATCTTTCCTGTCCCTGTCTCCTCTGTAATGGAGGATGTAAGGACACGGTTTGTACATACATGAAACTGGAATTAATGTGCACATCTTTCACACAATGGGAAGTGATAGGAAGCTGGGATGATTGATGGGCATTTTACTGGAGGCAAATCGGGTGAATTAGTCCATCATTAAGATATATGGATGCCTCCAGAAGCATTACACTGTAGATTGATCTTGATAACATAAAGGCGTCTGAAATAAAACAAACCCACAGTACATATAACTGCAATAATGGTCCTTCAATAGCATCACATAATTCATAACAGATTTAGATAAAACTGTTCATCACAATATTGTATAATACTAATAGTACTAATTAACTTGATTTGTATTATTATTTCTTTCTACATGCCTGTCATAGCAATAATAATTGTTTATTTCAAATTCTTGCCCGAGGGCTAATTGCAGGAACAGAAGAAACATATGGTATAAAAACAGGCAATTAGTACACATAGAACTACTGATAACTACTAAGATACTACTAGTAAAAACTACTGGGTCTGCCTTCTTTTTTGGAGACAGGAAGACAAAGGATCCCACTTTTTCTGTAATTTGTAATAATATAAATGCTGTGATGGTAGTACTAGTATCTTTTGAAATAAAGAATTCCCAAATGAGAGCATTTCAATTTTGCCCTACTCAATTTTATATTTGGGGGACAGAAACACAAATTGTTTTTTGATTGTAAGTCTGAAGATGAAAAAAGAGTAATCTCTTTGAGCCAGCATTGCTGTGTTGACACTGTTTCCAAAAATTGCTTCTAAGTTCATGATCATTTATATTCCTTCCTAGTTGTCAGGCCCCCAAGGCAAACTGTCTAGTTCAGATGTAATTACTGCCCGAAAATCCTTTTAGTGGAGAGACAGACTGATGATATGATTTGCCTCAACTCAGGCAGCTAAGATTGCACAACGTGGGGCGACACATTTGATGTTTTGACAGCTTAGGAAAAAAATTTTAATCACTCCTTATACTATGGCAAATTTAATATGTTGGGTCATGAATTTGAAATGGTGATGCTACGATATGAACATGAGTCAAAGGGGAAAGCCTGCATTTTGTATGTGCAATTTTAGGGAGTGTCAGACTCAGATTCAAATTTTCCTTTTAGCCATTAGTTTTCATACTGATCTCTTATACTTGATACTGCTTTGAAATGTCGTTGATCCAAAGAAATGTATTTGTGTGGCTTGCCGCTGTTACATGTGTTAAATCCTTGTGAAAGCTTTTTCCTTTAGCTGCATCAGTCTGCTAGCCTGGGTACCATCCGGAGGTTCGCTTCGCAACGTTAAAAAAATTTAGCGTTGCGGAGCAAAAATCCTGATTGTTTTGCTGATTTTTTCGAGGGTTGCGGAGTGAAAATCCGGATGGTACCCAGGCTATCAGTCTGCACTGTAGATGTGAATATGGAGGTTTAGCGGCTGCAGTAGAAGTAGTGGAGGAGATAGCACTGTGATTGATTATTACCTGACACACCCTGAAAGAAGGGTTATCGATCAGGGTGACCTTGCCATGGTCAGTAATCCCCACTCAGACTCCAGGGCCACTTCAAGTTCCTACATGTGTACCTGCTTTAGGGAAACACCCAATGATTTATTTCAAACCACAGCATTTGGTGATGAAAACTGAAGCCTATTGGCAATTTTGACTTTTTTGTGGGCCAATTTGGCACCAGGAACAGAACAGGGACTGTTTGAACGCACAAAATATATGCCAAAAATGTGAAATAATGACACAAATGTGTTGAAAAGTGATACTAACTGTTGATAACACCAAAATTTAGTATAATTAGAAGATTTTCAAATTTTTGTGTAAAAAGTTACATATTGGGCCTTTAAACATCCTATCAAAAAAGAAAACTTGAATATGTTGTAACAAATCAGGGCAATTTGACTTTTTTGAAAATTGCCTTAGAAATTGTAAAAATTTGTATGTTGCACGGAGAAAAAAATTCACAGACTGTAATTAATCTACATGCTTTTACACAACTTGTGGAAAGGTTCTTGATGTTAAAAGATAAGACTTTGTCTGGTTTTCATTCCCAAGGAAGTCGCACTTAAAGATCTCCATCCTCCTCAGTCTGCTGAGTTATTGATCCTCACTGCGGCCACTTATCTCCTTCTTTCTGCAGCAATGCCTTTGAGAAACTGCCGGAGTCCCTGTGTGACCTGAAGGGACTGAAGCTCATCGATGCCAGCAGGAACAAGCTCAACTGCCTTCCACCAAGGTAAGGGGCCTGCATGCCCTTTTCCATGGAGCGTAAACAGCCGTTTTAATTCTACGTAGAGGTAGATGGACCACTCTAATTCAACGTAGAGCGTAATTGGTTCATTTTGAGTAGAGCGTATTCGCCGTTTTAACTCTACAAAATCGTTGTAGCAACTTGAAATTTATCTTAATTTAAGTTAAAGCGCATTCTAGAGGTTTTCTGAATTCAGCTCTCAAAATTTAGAGCGTGTTCGGGACCCCCATGCAGGCCCACAGTTAACTTCTGCTATCTGTTGAGGAAAGTCCCTGTAGCGTATCTTTGCTATCATCACTTTTCTTTCTTGGGCTTCGTATTTAAAAATTAATGCTAAGTTGGCAATATCAACACGAAAAAGTCTGAGGAAAAAGTATGTTCCTTGGTTCACAACATTTTAGACAGATTCAAGCCCTCTTGCTGAAGTTTAACTTTAATCTTGAGCCTGGTATGTTAGATTTGCACCAAATTTGTATTTGTTACAGGTTTAGGCAGCAGGGAGAAGGGCCAAGAATGAATTGGTGTGGTCTTATCCTGCAAATCTTTCCAAAGACATGAGAAAAGCATCTCTTTTGAAAAACGTGAAAAGGCTGTGGACTTACAGACTAGCTTTTTGTGTATGTGCATGTTTAAGGTCTACGCACAAGGCCATGGTCATATGTCTATCCACAGTGCACCAAAACCTGCACATTAACTGTACAAGAGAATTCAGATAACACTGAATCCAAGTCAGATAACTACTGGGGCATATCAAACTCTCAGATCTTTCCACATCTAAAGGCTTTGCTGTGCTCAACAGCCTGTTAGAGAGATTTGTTTACTCTGTATGAAAAACCTTTGCAGCACCAATGCTGAATTTCGGTTTCTATACACAAATACATAATTCAAATATTATCAGGACTTTTCGTCAACATGTATACAAATAAGAAATAAGAATTTGTTGAGAGGAATCCTGTAGCTGACAGTCTCTTTTCAGTCTTTTGTTCAATGACAGATTCTTACAATTTATTATAATGTTATGATTGTGTATTCTACCCTCCCTGGATTTTAAGTTATTTTTTATTTGTCAACTGACACCAAACCATAATTTTTGTGTGCAAAATGTGTTGATACATTTCGTTCTTCATATAAAAATCTCTATATACTGATTTGTTCCTCCCACATGTTTCTCAATGACGTGTGTGTAAATTGTATGATTGAATGCTTCACTGTGTGAATGTCAAAAGTAATTTCATTAAGCTTAGCTCAGTAACAAAATTTCATTAAAGAAGACACTCATATTTTCTCAGTAATTACACATGCTCATGTAGACTTCTAGATGAGAATCGTAATAATTTTGATACCTAAACTATGCATATATTAATGATCCTGAAAGTGTCGTGCATTTAGATGCTTCAAAATTTGGACATAATAATTTTCTAGCAGTATCCCCTTGTCATGTCTTTTGAAAACAGAAACTTAAAACAGGGAATACATTTGATTTGGCCTGATATATAATGTCCTAATGCAATGCTGCCTCCAGGCTTGGCAACTTGGTCTTTATATAGAGCCAGACTTACTGATCAGAATACTAATGAGTCAGTGAAGGATGTGGGCGGAAGCAGGGCCGTTGTTTGTTTTACATCTTCTTTGTATGATAAACATACAAAAAGAAGGGCTGATAAACAAAAGAAGGGCTGACATTCTGATGTTATTTTTCTATTGTCCCAAAAAATGTCCCAAGGTGTATTTTTAGTTGTCCCAATTTTAGTGGTCAGTGGCCACTGGACCACCTTTAATTTCGAGCCCTGTAAATGTTGTCATTTATATGAATACAGAAATCAAATTCAAACAAAAACTATGATTGACACATTGTTGTTGTTTTTTATTTGCAGGATATTCTGGCACGTGCCGAAGCTGACCAGACTGAGAGTGGGGCACAACCGTCTGTCTGCCCTGCCTGACCGGGTGGACAACTGCCTGCTGAAGGAACTGGACCTCCAACATAACAGACTCACCCACCTCCCTGCTGCACTACTCATGAGGGCACACAGGTGGGTCTGGTACAAGATGCAAGATGACTCTATTCGTTTTTGCAGTGTGTATAACACTGAATTAAAATCAAATTTAAATGTACAAAGAATCTCAATTAGATAAAAATAGATGCAATAAGTAAACCATTGTTATAAAAAAGGACATAGTTGTATAATATAAGTGGCTATAGATATACACAAAACAAGTTAAAATTTCATGTCCGACAAAGTTTCAAAAAACAGATTGGTACAATATATTTACATTGCTGTTTTCATGCTGTCCGTGCTGGTTGAGCAATTTGATCATATACGGTATACTGTTACTTCACTGGTATCCTGAAACAGTGAAGTCTTGCTTCTTTGCTTGTCTTGGTGTCTGTCTGCTTGTGTATGTGTCTGTGATTTGCAATATTATATACAATGCAGCTTTGTCATAGATCTTCAGCATTGCTATTTTAGGTGGATCGCTTTGCTATTTTCCAAACAAAACAACTGCAACAGTATATTTTTACACTCTTGAAAAGAAGTACATGTAGCTCTGCAGTCGTGCATCATACACACACATGTGTACATGTACATGTATGTTTAGAGTTAAAACTTTTAATTAGATCCAACACAAAAAGTTCTCCCACCTAGCGCTTTCGACCAGTCACTCTGGTCTTCCTGTGTAGACTGACCCAGTGAGGCTTGTACATGTACATGTACTTGTTCAGAAAACTGAAATATAAGACTTACCCATAAAACAAGACTTTTTACAACAATCATCTTCTTTATATTGCTTGTCTCAAATAGCAAAATATATTGCCTTCTCCCCTGTTGATTCCCCACCACTGACGAATGGCCCATCCACCACTGGTAAACGCTGCCATCATGAACCCATAGAGAGAGGATGTAATTTTATGCCTCATTAACAAGCCGCTGTTTTAACAGAAACTCGTTAGTTTTCGAGCGGGGCCGTTGACCCTCGCTTCCGTCACTTTCATCCCGCGCCCGCCGTATTTTGGAACCCTCCCAAGATTCTCCCTGCGCGGATTCTTCCCTGATCCTCTCGTATCCCGTAATCTGACAGTGCAGCTATCAATCATTTGGGAAGGTACATAAAACGCAGCACAGGACTATTAAGTGGCTCCACATAGCCAGGGTAATACGTACAGTGCTCGGAAAGAAGCTTTTAGAAGATAGTCATCTTTCAGATTCCATGTATCTGTCACGAAATACATGCAGTTATTTTCCAGTATATACTTTAAATTTTAGTAAGTTTCATCGTGATGCAGTGTATCTGCCAACTTCTCTTACAGTCAAAGAAAGAGTTTTTGATTTTTATTAGAGGTACATAAACGCTGCACAGGACTATTAAGTGGCTCTACATAGCCAGGGTAATACGAACAGTGCTCGGAAGAAGCTTTTAGAAGATAGTCATCTTTCAGACTACATGTATCATTTCTGTTCTGTCACAAAATACATGTACACAGTTATTTTCCAGTATATAGTTTAAATTTGAATTTAAGTTTCATCGTGATGCAGTGTATCTGCCAACTTCTCCTCTTACAGTCAAAGAAAGACTTGATTTTTATTAGAGGTACATAAACGCTGCATAGGACTATTTAAGTGGCTCCACATAGCCAGGGTAATACGTACAGTGCTCGGAAGAAGAAGATAGTCATCATCCGTGTATCATTTCTGTTCTGTCACGAAATACACGGTTATTTTCCAGTGTATACTTAAAATTTCAGTTTAAGTTGTGCAGTGTATCTGCCAATTTTGCCTCTACAGTCAAAGAAAGACTTATGCCTTTTGTCATTTTTATTAGCTTACATGTACATGCTAGTGTCTGAGATAGGAAAAGCTTTTTTATCTACCCAATATGTGAATATTGGATGTACATGTACATGTATGTTACAGTAATTTTTTTTATGTGTCTGCATACAAATTCTTCTAAACTTTTAATTTGGATACAAAGTGTATAATTGAGAAGCAATTAAGATTATCACTTGTAATCACTCCAATACACATGTATGTGTGTAGCTATCCATATTACTACTGGTACATGATACTTTTACAGACCTACTACTTTTGACAAATGCTCCAGAACATCAAGAAATGACATACTGTCATCCCCAACACTAAAAAACACAAACTTGTCACTGAAAGAAACCACAGAACACTCTAACCTTTGCAAATGTGCGATTGATGATGATTTTGGTTGGCATGTAAGCAATATATGCATAGCTTGTGCTGAAAATTTAATGGAATAGAGATAAAATCGGACAGTGTCATAGATCACGATGTGACTTGATGCGCCCATTTCTCCCCCCCTCCCCATCACTGTCTGCTGACAAATGGTATCCTGCTGATCCCTCATAAGCCACAGCCTTGGCAGAGTGAGGCTGTGTAAGGGGATTTCAGCATCCCTGTTTGGCAGCTTGAGGCTGTGTAAGGGGGATTTCAGAATCCCTGTTTGGCAGCTTGAGACTGTGAAAGGGGAAATTCAGCACCCCTGTTAGTGAATACCCCTTTCCTTTGAAAATATTTCCACAGGTAGGAAATATTTTAGGCTGTCAAAGGGTGCATAATGTCAGAGCCGTAATACAAGCTGTTAACAGTTCAGAATTCTTACAAACAAATCTCTGTAAACCCCTTTACCTCCCCAAAATTATGCCAGAGGCAGGAAGCTGCCAGGATGGAAGGGAAAACATCCTGCCCCAACTTCAATGAAAAAAAGATTGATTTGATTTGATTTATTAGATGAAGTGATTATTTTGTTTAAATGTAAGAAACAGCGTATAAAATTGCTGTGGCCATAATTAGTAAGATTTGTGTCTGCAATTGATCATCCTATTTCTTGGTTGAATTTTTTTTTCTTTTATCATTTGAGCTTTCTGTCTTTAGAGCTATAACTAGTATAAGACCACTGATAGTAATAACAGCAGTGTATGCATGGTTGAGTAGCAGCCATGAATCCCACGGATTAGTCCCCATTTATTATCTTTGATAGGAAAACATCACGTGCATTGGGTCCCATAATCAGCTATGCCATAGGAAGGAAATGTAGCTCTGACCTACATTACAACTAATGGGATATCTGTGTTGTTTTTGTCCTCACACATTAAATGCATCCAATATGATTTCTGGGTGGCAAAACTAGATTTTCTGAGGTTTTCAGAGGAAATTTTCACATGCCTTGTTTTTTTGTCCGTTGAGGAGGGCGGTCAAAAAAGGGTGCATATACGATAAGAAGGTCACAATTTCCCCACCTTTGCTTGGAGAGTAAGGCCATAGCAAGTAATTTTTATGGATGACATCAGCATGTGCATTACTTTTTGTCTGATTTTGAAAAAAATACAAGAAATGTTGTTGCCCTCTGACAGTGGTCATGTCTGTTGCCATGCCGCAATGTGGATGCAGATGGCAGATACATGTAAATATGAAGAGAGGAGACAAGACAAGGCTCTAATTTATTGTTCTGTCTTTTACTTTAATGCAGTGATGTATTCCATTCCTTTTATATGTAATGTTCACTGAATCAAAACCATTTTTACAATGATTGAAAACTTTTCTTTTTCAGTGACAAATGGATGTTGTAATAGTTGGCAGTAAACATATAGCACTATATAAGGTTTATGATATCAAAATTTTAAAGTGTAGGAACCTTTTTTTAACTCCTACCTGTCCCTCCCCCTGCAGACTACGTGTGCTGAACCTGTCCTGTAACCGGCTGGTGACCCTCCCACAGCTGGGTCCCTCGGAGAAGCTGAAGAACGTGGAGGAACTCTACCTGTCCTCCAACTACCTGGTGGAACAGTCTCTACTGGTCATCGCAGGGTACCCACGGCTCAAGGTGCTGCACATGGCCTACAACCTCATCAAAACCATCCCCGCAAGGTAACGGTCATGGAACTTCAGTATGAAACCTACTTAGCTGGTGTGTTGTGCTGAAAGGCGGTTATACCAGCCAAACAGATACGGATACTCTGTACAAGTGCCCTTTGCAAGATTTTTTCTTCATTCGTTTCTTTAGATAATTCTGAAATTTATGACAGAAATATTAAAGGCTGCCATGATGTAAAAGATGTTCTTGCCATTGCCATTGAGAAAAATAGCCCTTTACTTCACTATCCACATGTAGATAGAACTTACACCAAAGTCATAGCCTTTCATAGAGTATTGTAATGTAGATTAGTTTTCAGAATTGTTGTACTAGTTGCCATCTTTGTCTTCTTCATTGGTCATCTTCATCATGAGGTGTAGCAGGAGAAGTTCTGTTTTCAGTACTGCTTGTCAGTCATTGCAGACAGAAGTTCAGGTCCTTGTAAACCGGCCTCGAATTCAATGAGTTTCTTTAGAGTTGTGGTTCCTTTTTGGATCCGGAGTCCAAAGTAAGAGTCATCTAGCTGGTTCTGTACTACGAGTCACATAGTTGCCATACAATGTATCATATGCAGTTAATGAGGAATAAAGGTACTATATATTATCTATGTATATATGTATGTTTTCTCTTCCAGGTTCTTTGTGCGGCTGGAGCAGCTGGAGGACATTAACCTGTCTGGAAACCACCTGACGCAGCTGCCGGCCACCATCACGCAGCTGCCCAAGCTGCAGGTGCTACGGGCTCACTCCAACCACCTGACCAGCCTGCCAGACTTCTCACAGGCCAAACTACTCAAGGTAAGCAAGTTGCACACCCCCAGTGTACTGTTAGACATTATAAGGCTTTTGTAAATTCGAGAAGACACTGTTCCAACTAGAAATGTAACATTTGCAAAGCAAATGCATTATGTTTACCTTCGCATATGGTCTTCTCTGTTAATTCTTACTCAAGCACATTCATATAATGATCAGACAGGAGTCTAAATCCCTCATGCTATAAAGTTGCAACATGATGTAACCCAACACTAGTTACCATGGTGACAGACATCTGGTTCAGGTCATTAACCTTATATGTTTGGAGAAGAAGAGGAAACTGAGCAAAAACAATGTTTTCCTGCAGTAAACATAATTATACAGAGCTAGTGTCTATCTCTTTGCAACACTCGGAAGTTGTTTTATTGGTGTGGGTTTTGTGTTGGATTTTTTCTTAGATCTTTTTGATCCATCGTCATGATTACTCTACCTCTTTGATGCATTATCTCATTTAAGAAGACACACTCACTGTTTATAGGAATAATGTGCGTTTGCCTAACTTGATGTTTCAAGTAGTTAGGCAATATTGACACAACCCATAAATATAGTTACAGTTGAGGAAGGGGTGAGTTGTTTGTGAGAGTATTGACTAATTTCTCACTGCCACTCACACCAGACAGGTGATCAGTCTCAGGCCTTTTGACCTGATTTTTCCAGACTTGAGTCCTCTATTCAGCTTAATTGGCTATGTTTAGGAATAAGATATGATTTGTTGGAAGGGTAGCACTTTGTGTCACTGCTGGTGTGTGGCACAAGTGAGTAAAGAAAGGAGAGCTTAGTTCTTCTAACAATTGTTTTTAGAAATGTCTTCTTGATGAAATGTCATTTTTATTTCCACCTCTAATTTGTTACAACAAGTACAATAAATAAATGCTCAGTGTCCCACCCTTTCTTTCTTAATGTTTTCCAGTAACTGGCTTTTTAAGTTAGCTTGGATTCAAACACTCAACCTCCAGGTTTAAAAGCTGTATTGCTTACCATTGGACCACAATGTACAAAATGTATACTACACCACAAGACTTACATGTATGAATATGGTACAGTATAACCACCCTTTGGCGTAACACCCCAGCTTTGCAAGCACAAAGCACATCAGCAGTTAGGTACATGTATATTACACTGAACAACGTGTCACGCCTAACCTTCGCACGTCTAACCACAAGGTGGCACAACGCAGTTTTAGCCCTATGGGGATTTCTATAGTTAAGGACCCCAAAGTGACTCACTTCGACTCACTGAAAGTCATAGTAGGGTGCACAAGCAAGGTTCAGAATTTTGATATGTTTAATTTCAGGGTATAGTGTACAAAATATGCGAAAATGAGCTTAGATTTCCTGGCTAGTTATCTTCTCTTTTATTAGCGCCACGGGAGGTCATGGAACTGCAGCTGACGCACAGTACTAGGCGGGACAAGTATCCAACCGCAAATCTACGCCGACTGAACACGCACCATAATTCAACTTTTACAGTCTCAAAACTGACGTATTCCTCTAACATTGACCACAGGTTCTATCTCGATGCCATGTACAGAACAATTTCCGCACCCTTCTCTAGTATTGTGCAGCACTACTTTGTGCCCGGACTACTTTTGAGTATGGGGTTCGCCCATAAATACTGTGTTTAAACCTATTGGTGTTTGCCCCACCCCACCCCAGGTGCTAGATGTAGGCTGTAATGAGCTGCGTGAGGGCAGCCTGTCGGGTGACCTGCTGTCCCAGCTGAGTGAGCTGGACCTGGGAGAGACCCAACAGTTCAGCAAGGCGGAGACTCTGGTGAACGGTTCGGCCGGCCTGGCTCTACTTGGGGCCGGACCTGACGGACAGGACTCCACGCTCTGGAGATACGGCTGCGCGCAGACTTACGGACAGAGAAACAAGTGAGAAAAACTCTTACTTCTGTTTCTGAAGTTTGAAGGTGTAACAGAAGTATTTAAATCATCAAAAGTTGTTGTAACTTGTAGCTGTATTTGACTGCAAATTTTGGACACAGGAAGATGAGCTTGTTAACTTTCCTTCACCGACACTTTTATTAATGTTTTGCTTTCATTATGAAATCTACGTTGTTTGAAGGTTGCACAAATGTGAACGAGTATGGTTTGGCAAATAGTCTAGTCTTCAAATTCATTTCTTTACATTTTTTTCATTTGATTTGGGCATTCTATGACATTGGTATCCAATGATTTTTATTTAACTTACGGCATATATTTACCCATTTTGCAACTGTTTTGTACGATTTACAGTATGGTTGAAAACTTTTCTTTTTTTTTTGGAAACGGCCAAAAATTCATGCGCGCGGATGTCATCCATGTAATCAAATCAACATGGCGTAATATGTTATTTCCATGCCTCCAGCCTGTGTGTCAGACAAGTCCTGAGACCGACCTACGGCGCAGAGAAGAACGAGGGTCTGTTTGCGGTGTTTGACGGCGGGAGGAACGCGGACGTGCCGCATCAGCTCCAGACGAGCGTGGCGGAGATCGTACAGGAGGAGGTCAGGAAACATCAGGAGGGCGACAAGGACAACATCCACATGAAGTACTCGGTACTCACCGCGCACAAGTACGTTATCTTCTTTTAGTTTTACAACCGGTCAGAAATATTTGTAACTTTATTTTGGAACAATGGTAATAACAAGATTGCTAACAGGGTTATTTTTAACAAGGAAATGAGATTTCCTTGATAAATATAACAAATGATTGATAAAAATGAGTCCCAACAGAAAGAAAAGATGATTATATTGTTTTCCTGTTTTTCATGCAATGGAATCATTTGGAGACAGCTTTTAAATTAGAATTATAGTATTCCGCCAAAAATTTGGAGACTAAAAAAAAACGTTTCCATAATCATATCCAGTTGCTTGAGTAACTGCTTTTTGGCGTATCGTATTACCTTCATCGGTGTAGAATAGTATTCTTTTCTATGTTACGATAAACTTATTTGTTCCAAGTTATGTGCGAACAACAAGGTCATTGGAGTCTGTTGTTGGTCCCCACAGGAGACTGGGTTCTGTTGGTCAGAAGCTGGGCTCTTCGGGAGTCTTCTGCCACCTGCAGAGGTTAGGTGAGGACAGCTACACGCTGCACCTGGCCAACGTGGGCACCTGCCAGGCCGTGCTGTGCAGGGAGGGTGTGGCCGTCAGCCTGTCCAGGTGCCACACTCTTGTGGGGGCTCCAGAGGAGGGAGCCAGGGTGATGGAGGTGGACGGCATGTTCACTGAGGTAAGCAGTTTTGCAAGCTTTCCAAAATAATTTCATCAGGTTTGTAGGACATTGGATATAGGGATTTTCTTCTTACACAACCTGTAGTGTTTCTCACCTTCTTATGTTTTGATGCCTGTCAGACATCTCCCTCAGCTGTCTGCTTGTACTTTTGTTAAGAGGGTGACTAGGTTTGTGTAGAAGGCATATGTTTCAAGAGAGAGGCATGAAATCCTTATCAAGATCTGGTTACTAAAAGAGAAATTCCGAAGGTTCAACTTATGTATGTCAACCACTTGAATGAGCAACCCAATGAAATGTCTTCATTTCCTAAGTTTACACTAACTTGTGATCTTTTATTTTTGCTGGACTAAGACATTGTGTTGGTGTTCTGTACTTCAGGACAACAAAGTCAGTGGAGTGACGGAGGCCACCAGACAGCTGGGTCGGAACTACCTCCACCCGTCCATCATCCCAGATCCGTACGTCCATTCCATCAACCTCACCCCTCGCGACGAGTTCGTCATCCTTGCCTGTAGAGGATTGTGGGATTACGTCGCCCCCATGGAGGCCGTCGATACCGTGCGCAGTAAGAACAACCCTCTGAAGGCGGCAAAGTTGTTGAGGGACATCGCGCAGGGCTGCGGCTCGCAGGACAACATCAGCGTGGTGGTGGTTCGGCTGCAGGAGTGTGATGAACCGGAGGATAACTGCGCGGTGATCCAGCCGGAGGACCTGCCGCCGTCCATGGAGAACCTCACCGTGTCCGATTCAGGGGAGAGCGACACAAAGACTGATGGGAGCGAGGGGAGAACTAACGGAAACGGGGTAACCGCGAGTGACGGGAACGGCGTGGAAGGGTCGGTGTCAACGATATTGGACGACAGGTCGTCGGTGTCGTCTCTGCAGAGCACGTCGAACTCTGCGGGAAGTCAGGCTGACGAGCAGGAGTCCAAAGCCGCGCTGGCCGATGTGACGGCAGGTTTGGACAAACATGCCATCCAGGAGGCGGTCCACCGAGACAGGCACAAGAAGGCTTACCAGTCCAAGTCCCACAGTCTCACCTACGGTGCAGAACGGCCCCTCAAGAACGGGTGGAAGGCGGACAGAGGCGGCTGGGTGTCGGACAACGCCGTGGATGATAGCGACGAGGAAGGGGTGGAAAACATCGCCACGGAGGTGCAGGTGGAGGTGGAGGTGTACACCCCCTCCCACACCCCCTCCCACAAGTCCAACATTGTAACAATAGTCAATGCCATGGTTGCTACCACTCAGCCTGTCGAAAACGGACTACATGAAGAGAAGGACAAGCCGGCCAGTGAACAAAACGGGGCCATAAACGGGCACGCGGACGGGGAGAAAACGCCGCTCAAGTCTTCCAAGAGAGCCAACGGTTCGGTCGTGCCAGACTCAGACGTTATCTGTAAGATTGAGATCGCTCCTCCTAAGCCCCCTCCCCGCAGTTACTCCAGCCCCCCCACCCTGGCAGTAGACACCTCCACCGACGGCAGCACGTCGCCTGTCCGAAAACGGGCCGTGGAAAACGGGCACGCCGCCAACGGCCACGAGATGCAGGGGGTTGAGGAGGAGACGGAGGAGTACGACACTGCGCTGTAATACATTTTGTAAAACGATACCCTATTGTTTACGATACCCATTTGTAACCTGAGACTGCTCTGTGACATCTAGAAAAAGTGTGCTGTAATGTGTTACAACAGCGTAACACAACGCAGCATTGTACATAAGGAAAAATGCCATTTGTACAGACCCAGTAACTGGTCCAGTCCCCAAGCCAGGGACATTTCCAGAAATTTGTACCTCATAGATGTATCTGTCCGCATGGTTGATTAATAAAAGGTATTAAGATATATTTAGACAGGAGGTGACCAAAAAGGTACCAGAAACTGGCTTGTCTTTGTAGAGTGAGCTGTCCTAATGTTAATGGTAGATATTCTACACATTGTATGGACATAGAAAGGAAAGTGCTTTCTGATAAGATGGTACAAGATGGCTCACTAGAAAATATTGTATGGTAAGTAAAGTATATGTAAATTGTGAATAGAATTAACTCTTCTGAAACAAAAAGTGTTGTGGGAAGATCCAGAATTTCCATCCCAAAGTGCATTGCTTGGCAACCAGAGGCTGACATCTGTTTGAAGAAAATGGATGGAGATTTCCCAACTTCTGTGTCGGGACAAAGTTGAGAAGAATAAACAAAAGTCACCCAATAATACTAGTATTTACCTTTAACTACACTAAAGTAAAGTTCACATTCTACAAGGCAGATTCTCGAAGTGACCAATTGCTGAACATCTAATTTCACACAAATATATGCAGCTTGACTGGTTTTCAAAGCATGGAAAGAACACTTATAAGAAAATGGATTAGAAAGATTATCAAACCCAGTAAATGTTTTGGCTACATTTATGTACTTGACATAGATAAATCATTGTTTCTATTGGTTCTGCACCGTATGTTTTTATAACAACTGTTGTTGCCACTACTGGAAGTTAGGGGATAGCCTGGGTGCAAGACCCATAGCACACTAGACACAAGTACTGAGATACTTTGTGTCCAGTGTGCTATGGGTCTGGCACCTAGGTTAGTTAGGGTATTGTTGGTGTATGAAGTCTCAGGTTTGTGTGATGCCCAGCGGGAAATTGTATGGATCTACCTTTGTGCCACTTGTGGAAGTTTCCAAAAAATCCCTTTGACTAGTTTAAGGTTGTACAGGAACTGTCCGTGCCATGTACATAGTTATTTTGTTTACCTACTGTGGAATGCGTGACTATATGTGGTGCTCTATATTATGCTATGTGAACATGAATAGGACCATTATGTACATGTACATTGTAATTTGATAGAAATATAAGTATGATACTGGATTTACCAAATGCACACACTCTACTGTCTAAACTTGCCTTAACATGTACTATTTTGCTGGAAACATGTGTATTTCACATTTCCAAACTGTTGAACTACATAGCTTTATAATATAAATTGCCGTCACATATGAACACCATTGAGAGAGAAAGAGAGAGACAGAGAGAGGAAAATTTGGGATGGGGATGATGGTTGGTTACTTGTATTATTTGAAAATGAAATTGTACAGTTGTGAACTGACTGACCAACAAGGTACATGTATGTTTCTCTACAACTGTACAAGGATTTATGCATTTGAAATGCTTAGCTATCTTTCATGTAGCTGATTTATATTTTATTTTTTCATTACAAAAATAGATTCTATCTAGTCATCTTCATAAGGCATTTGAACATCGTTCAAGGACATTCGTTCACCCGTTCATATCTTTTTGATTTAATTTGGCTGTAGATATGACTTGGTTAGTTTAGTTAACTTGCCTAGATAGTGTCTGTTTAGAAGGGAATTATTTCTTTTGCGTACAAAATGTTTTACTTTTTTTGAGAATTTTTTTTTACAAATGTGACACAGACTGTTTTGAAGGAGGTTTTGTTTGGCTGTTAACAGAATGTTTTGAGAGATGGCCAAACATTTCTTTGTACTTGTGCCAGTAATTGTATACTGTTGCAACTGAGACTGACTTTATAGTGTGGAAAGTATTATTAAGTGGATATTAAGAATGTGTAGCTGAGGCAATCTGCTTGGTCCTACATTCTAGTGGTGTGACTCTCTCAATCCTGTTTCATTCCATTCACTGGCTCAAACAGTTTTTGTATATGTGTATGTATATACCTATTTTAGATTTATTTTGCTTACTACTCTAAAATGAAATATTTGATTTTTTTTATTTTATACTACAGGGTAGTGTCATGAATGGATGAATTGCTCGTACTAAAAGAAAATGTGCCAACTGTGATTGAATGAATACTGACTCGAAAAGCCAAAAGGAATCTTGAACTTTGTATAGTCTTATACTTGGAAGAACTGCCAAGCGATCTTGTTGAAGAATTTACATTGTGAATTTTGTATATTTCTCTACTTGAAGAAATGGAATATTGAAGAATGTGCCGCTATGTTTAAGCATGGTGGGAATCTGACTGATCTACAGTGTTGTAAAATAAGCAGAGAACACAGAGGAATATTAATTGTGATTAATGTGTATTTTAACTGTTTATCATTATGTGTAATTCTTTTGTAATCTCTACAGTGTCATAGTTAATCAGCCAACAACAACAAAAATAAATAAATACACCAAGTAGCCTTGTTTCCTGAGAAGGTTCTGACAAAACAACTTGCAGATCAGCCTTCCACAAGAACAATAAATTCCCTTGATTCTGAACATGATTGTTGTCAAGTTTTCTCATTTCTTACTTCTTCTTTGTAGTAGCCTGGGTGCTATTCGATTTGTTGTTACTTGTAGTACAATGTAAGGCCACAGCAAGTAAATTTATGGATAACGTCCTCTGTAGACTCCAAATATAATGTGAGGCGAAAACAAAACAAGGTGGGCCCAAAAAACAAGATTCCTACATTTACATTTTCAAATTTGACATCATAAACCTTGTTAAACAAGAAAGACTACATATATAAATCTAAGTCTACTGCTGACTATTACAATAGCCATTTGTTACTGAAACAATTTTGAAAAATAACTTTTCGATCATTGTTCAAATGGTTAAGATTCAGTGGGAATATCACATATACACAGCCACCATCACATTTTGAAAGGAATGAAATACTTCACTGAATCAAAGTAAAAGACAAAACAATAAATCAGAGCCTTGTCTTGTCTCCTTTCTTCATATTTATCTGCCATCCACCTTCCGGCATGGCAACAGACATCTTTGCCCATTTCCGGCACGTTGACCACTGTCAGAGGGCAACAATTTTTTTTTCCAAAATCAGGCAAAAATTGATGCGCACACTGATGTCAACCATAAAAATTACTTAGTGTGGCCTAAGTACTAATACAGTGAAGCCAGCTTTGAGCCACCGGTCAATCAAGTGTGGCCTAACATTGAACTAAAAGTGATCTTGCTGCAATGAGGGTTCCAACTTGGAAAAGGAGTAAGAAGTAAGTGGTGGCAGTGTTCGTGGATATATTCCAGACTAGAAAAAACAGAAGCTGCCACTGGTATAAACGGTACTCTCCAAGCTGAGGTTTGGGGTTATTTTTGCCGTGTTTTTAGACTTTTTATCGCATATATATCGGGGTTTCTTTTTTGCACTGGAATTTTTCTTTCACCCAACCCATTTTTCTCTCACCCAACCCATTGTTGGGTGAAAGAAAGACTCCAGTGCAAAAAAGAAACCCTGATAAAAAAAAGTCTAAAAACACGCCAAAAATAACCCCAAACCTCTTGAGAGTAATAAACGGTTTAAAAGTGCCCCCCAACGACCATGTATGTTGTTTCAGATATGCTGATCCTAACAACCAAAAACAAGGGTCCGTAGGACACAGATCTCCGTGAAGTAATCATTGTGTTTGTGGTTCCTGCTAGATAATGTAAACGATGCCCCGGTTTACATGGTTCATATCTAGAAATTTTCATCTTTTCAACTTAGCTTCCAAATGCCGCAAAAATTAAATTACCATTATTTACCAATACGGAATTAAAGGGTTTCTTACCAATTAGGAAAATTATCTCATTTAGATGATCACTAGCTATTGATATTCCCCTCTACATCAGTTGTCACATGTTTGAGAGTCCTATCATGAAATGCAATGGATGCATAAACTTTCATGCATAATTAATACAAAAATCTATGTACACATCAAAATTATGACGATCTGTCAATCCCTTTTGGGGCTATTCTCTTTCAAAATCGGCTGCTGCTATACACACTCAAGCTGAAACATCTGCTTGGAGATCAGGTATAAGCACGCCTAACATCTGCTTGGAGGAATGTTAGACAGCTGTGGGGCTGTTCCACATCTCTACTGAAAAGTAGGGGTGTATCCTGATGAAATGTACTTTACCGCGTACCGCTAAAAACTGCTATGGTGTAAAAACTAACAAAACAAGAACAAGAAACGGTCCACAGTGTCAATTAATCAACCGCAAGCATCAGGGCAGATACATGGCGGCTGCAGACATGTCCCTCCAGGACGTTCTGCATCGTTAGTTGAGACTCTTGAGCCAGCCGAGTTCGCCTAGCCTTGGTGCTGGGCTGCTTTCCAGGTCCCAAACAGGCTAGGCCAGTCCCTCGGCGCGGCTCCAGTGCCAACATGCTCCCAAGGAAATTCTACCACAGCCCACTCAGGCCCTGATACACGGGCACGCTGACTCACTCTGGGCATGGCGTGTTATGGGTCTGGCATCCTAGCCTGTCATCCTTGCTTGGCCGACTTGGAACGCCGACCCGAAACAGGCGCCTAGCTCCGCGGACGCGGAGTGGCTTCACGGACCGGTCCCTTCCTCTGAAGAAGTTACTAATGATGATTGGTGAATTAAATAAAAACCAAGTCGACTTAAGCAGTTCCTTCTCTTATTCTTACTTTGTTGGTGACTTTAAATCGGTTCAGGATTACGAAGATCTCGTGGATCGCGCGGGCGCTACTCGGGGTAGAAGTTTTCCGCCGCCCGGTTTCAACCAGGCAACCGGTCGCTTTAGGCACCTGTTGTACCTGTGTGTTTCGCGCGGTGAGAATTGTACCGTAACCGCGCAAAACTCATACCGAGACATAGTTAAGTCAGGCAGCGGAGAGATACTAGTCTAAAGGGACCACAGAGCCTCGAAGAGAGCCCGCCCTATCTACGATAGGACTCGGGATACGTTGCGAACACGTTACGAAAGTGAAGTACAGTACATGGATCAAAAGCGGCCCTTAGCAATCCGTTGCAAACTGCAGCAATACATTAGCTCAGTTGCTCCTATTACTGCAGTGATGTTTTATCGCCGTTGCGGGGCGCTTTTGATCCATGGCGCTTTTGATTCATTTTAACGTGTCAGAACTATAGAAGCAGGGTTTCTTTCTGAATAGAAAGGTAAGTGATAAGGCAGCCGTTTGATTATTCTTTAATCCTCATTGATTTAAATAGAGAAATTCAATGCACTGAATCAAGGAAAATAACAAGGAAAGATTGTAGCTTTCTGAAAGAAATTAATGAAAGGGGAGGGCGCCAGGAAAGGCGTTAGCTTCAGAGGGCGAAAAAACACAAATTTACCGAATAGTTGATTGATCCAAAATGTAATGTTTGCATTATTAAGGACATTGTAAGGTACATGTGTATATCTAACTGAGAACTTGAACACTTGAGACAATATTTTGTTAAAAGCATAACAGTAATTTGCAATTCAGGACTGTGTAAAGTAAAGGTGTATTGTGTTGAAACCTGTTAAAACCAACTGTAATGCTGTCATCTATTGAAATAAAAGATGAAAAGAATATCTTTAAGGTCGAATGATATATTTGTAAGGCAAATAATGGTATGATAATGGTGTTGGTCTATTACGTTATAAAGCTTAGCAAAGAAATGCAAATTATGATGATTCATTAACAAATGAGATCACACCTGCGTCTAAGCTAATCTGATAT